TAAATGAATCGTTGAATGAAGTGCTTTGGAGAGTAAGTAGGGGAAGAGGGGAAAAAAATTAAAGCCATGAGGTAATGACAGGATCCATAGCACCCAGATTTTGTTGCTTCACTTTATTAGGGATCTCTTATTTCAAAAGAATCTGCAGGAGCACAAGTAATTCAGGAAGGTGGAGGGGAACCTGCGATCCCTCTCTAATTGCGTAACTATGAGAGAGGCGCATTCGGGATGGGAACGGGAAGACATGGAGGTGGCACAGAGCTTGACTACTGCAGAGCTTTCTAATGTCCCTGAGCTGAAGAACATCTCCGGAGAATTTTTCAGAAATGAGTTCAGGGAGAGCAGGATAAACACTTCATTATGGCATCTTATTCCACAGCTTTGGCGGGTTTTCCTCTGTGCATTTACCCAGAGTTTCCATGTGAGCAGAGCTGCATCTTGATCTAACTTTATTTTTGCAAGAATTAAAATAAAATTTTTGTAAGTCAGCCTCATGGACCAGTGTGCTAGTCTGGGCTTCATTGCCTTGGCTGTAGTGATTCTCACTCTCTACTAGTCTCTCTCTTTGTTGAGTAGGAACCAGTCAGTTAAAACCATATCTTTAGCTCTGGAATAACATTGTTTTTCCCACCAATGCTCTTTTTCTTGGAAGGTTTCTGTTTATATCTATCCATCTCCCTTTACCAGGAGGATTAGCTAGTTGCTTTCTTCTCTGTAAGGTACAATCTTCCTCCCAAGGGCAGGGTATGGATGAGCTAATCTATGGGACAGTGCATTTGATATTTTCCCTAAGAATTGACAGCAAATCCAGTAATGTGAAGACTCCATTTCTAGGAGGCCTGACACATAGAATCATTTATATTGAGCTCTAAAGAGAAATTTTCAATTTCATCTTATTAGATTTGGAACTACTTAAGTCAGTTGTGGAAAGAATAGTTTCACCTGGGCATCAATATGCTTTATGTTCAGATAGGAATACTTGTTTGACAGAGCTGTAGCATGAACTGTGTATCACTGGAGGACTGTATGCCCACAAGCAGTATTTTACTTCGCAACAATACTGACTTAAAGAGCTCGACATAACACGTTTTGTAATTTTCTTCCTTTGCTCATCCCTGACTATTTCTCTATTGGTTTATTTGTTCAAGCTTCATTGGATCCAGTACATGCCATCACTGTGCTGGTGCTAGGGGTGTGAAACAACACCCCCACCGCCAAGGAACTCACAGTCCGAAGGGAAAGATCAAAATGACAAAGACACTTGAAAGAAATCACTTGCAGAATTGCTTTTTGGTTCTGTAAAAGTAATATTATCTAATATCTTAATAATCTTAATGAAGCAAACTCATTTTGTCTAAGTGCTACTACTAATATCATAGGTCCTTTTTGAAGACTGCTGTGGAAAGAAAGTTATAAGCCTTGGGATGTGGGATTTGGCTTGCTTTACAACTTTAGAAAATCGTGTGGAATGCTTTGAGTATCTTTTATATTCACAGCAGTCTGCTAGCCTCTGGGAGAGTCCTAAGAAACAGCAGACACAAAAAGACTATATTCTCTTAAGAAAAAGAATGCGTTTATATATAAAGAGCTGATCCCATGATAGAAAGAATGCTGCCAGGAACAAATTTCTAAGTACCAATAAGACATGCTGCAATAATTTATATAAGGGAGATTCACTCCTAGCCAAGATAATACAAGAGATGATATTTGGGCTGGGCTTATAGATGATAGGGATGATTTATGTAGAAAGAGGTACCAGGGGATTGGTTGAGTGGAAACAGCAAATAGATAGGTGAGTTTCTGGGACCAAGAAGTAGATGGGCCACTTTTTGACATAATGGGTCACCAGAAAGGAAGAATAGGGTGATATATTGTGACAGATGGTGAATGGGCTCTGGTGCCCTGCTTCAGACTTCATTCCCCAGGCCTTGAGGATCCAGAGGGAGGTAACGAGCAGAAGAGGGGACGTGACCCAAGTTGTGTTTTAGACTATTTCAGCTCAGTGCCTGAATCATGAATGGATTAAGGGAGTGGAACTTTTAGAAGGACACAGATGAGGCAAATACAGTTGAAATAAGTGTGTCACTACAGATAAAAATAAAAGAAGAGACAGATACAAAACTCACTGCAAAGGCAGAAGCATGGAGACTTGACTCTAGTGTTCTTGCTGCAAAGCACTGCTTTAATCATGTGAGAAATGAGAGACAGAATAATCTGGCTGTTGTCATGTTTGTATTTGGAGTCAGACATACCGGGATTCAAATCTACAGCTCTCGCAAACTAAGACAGTGACATCAAATGGGTTACTTAACCCTTCTAAGCTGGCGGTGTTTTCATAAGGAAGATGGGAGAATGGTGCATACCTCACAGATGTTGCCAGAATGAACGAGAGTGATATCATTGCTGCAGTAATAATTGCCCAATCAGACAGGCAGGCACAAACACAGTAGTATCCTTAGGAGAAGCAAAACTGCTAGGAAGTAGCTGGATTTTTGGACCCAGTTTGAAACATAAGCTCTTGTTTTAATATTTTTCAAGTAAACCAATTGCGAACTGTAGCCAACCAAGTCTGCTATGTTCATCTTCCTTTTTCCCTACCCAAACACATAGTGTACCAGTGAGTATTGTGTTTCTGGTATTTTGGTGTCTGCTATGAGTGCTAATTGTTTTGTTTCTTGCTCACTTGTTTTCTGAACAGCATGAACAAGACCTTTTGTTTAACCCCTAAATAATCTGCCTAATTGTAGTGTGGCAGGCAACACAAATTAAAATTGAAGCAAGACAAAACCTGGCCACCTGTCTGCTACTGCTGCTGTCCCTGGCACTGGCTCAGCTGGCCTTCATCTATTTAGTCATTCACCAGTTGTGCACCAGGCACTGTGGGTGGTAGAAAGATGCTCTAGGATCTCTTGATGGATCCCATCCTCTAGTATACTATGTGTGACCCAAAACGAGGTTGCATGGTAGACATGAAATATATCTCCGGATGGAATTCATTAAGGGAAAGACTGGTTTCTTGTCTAAGAAAGAGGATTGACATAACGTGTAGTAAGGACTGTTGAGTCTGGGGCCGGGGGCACAGGAACAGGATTTTCAGGGTGCTGAGAGAAAATGATGCAGAGGTTGGAGAATGGGAAAGGAAAAACAAGAAGATGGCAGGAGAACACGGAGACCTTAAGCACCAGCACTTGGCTTAGGTCCTCTGATTATGTGACTGCTTTATTTACCAAAGCAGATCATACAGAATACCTGTACTGAGAAATAGAGCTTAGCATCTGCTATAAGGATGTTGTTCCTCACATTACTCACTAGCTTCTTAAAATGAGGAAGAGAACTTGCCTTTTAGTTCTGAGCTATTGGCTCTTTTTATTGTGTGGACACTGAATTCTATTACTAATTGGGTTTCTTTATTAAATTTTGCTGCCAGGTAACTTAATTGAAGTTTGTGTCTATGTATTACAAGAATAGAGGACTCCTATAATGTGTCCTTGTGTCCAAATTCTGGCTCCATAAGTTCCTCCTTTGTTTGCGACTCTTTCCTCATATCCCTTCCCCTCCTTTCTGCCTGCATGTGATCAGGCTATAGTTTACGTACATCTGCATGATCTGCTATAATTCCTCTCTGGAACAAATAGGAGAGTGAAGAAAGGATGAATGGCTTCCTCAAGAGTTCACCTTTCCTGAGACTAACTGGACAAAAATAGCAATTGAAATACAGAGGTAAGGAAAGGAAATGAACTGCAGAAATATCTAACCCACAAGTTTACAGCTTTCATGACACTAATTTTGGGCAGGTTTTCACAGCTTTGGGGCAAATTGCTCCGTTTCCCGACCTTCAGTTCCTGCACTGAAGGAGAGGTCCAGTACCTTTGGAGGTATTTTCTAAGCTCCTGACTCTGGATGTCACTAAGAGAACTAGAGGTGTTTAACAGGGAACTGTGATTTTAGTCAGTAGCAACTTCACCCCCTATGCCTGAGGGAAGGTCCCTGGAGCAAGCATTCTGAGCAGGTTGTTTCCCCCTCTACCCTGAGGCTCTATGACACTTTTTTATCCTTCTTACTCATAATTAAAGGTTGTTCAGGAAGGAGCCTGTGTGACTCATCTTTCCTTTTCACCCTTGCCTTACTTTCACCCAGGGCTGCCCTATCCCTGAGTCTAGAGCAGTGATGGCGAACCTTTTAGAGATGAGTCCCCAAACTGCAACCAAAAGCCCATTTATTTATCATAAAGTGCCAATAGTATAATTAAACCTGAATACTGAGGTTTAAATTCAGAAAAAAAGTCATACATTAACTTCTGTTGTCTTAAAAATAAAACAACACGCATTTCATAGGTTTACCACCCCTGGTCCAGAGAATCCTCCTTACTTCTCAAAACCAGCTCCAGGTGTCACCCCTCCCAGCATCTTCTGGATACCCTACTTATCTTTATCCTTCCACATTTGATGAAGAACTCACCTGGCTGTCTTGGATAGCTGTGTTGAAAGGTCTCAAACCCATCAGCCTGTGTGCATAGCATCTCTGATCTGCTGACTTTTCTGTCTCTTTGCCAAATCACTTGTCTAACCCTAGATTTTTCTTCAGTTATTTCTTACCTGAATTGGAGTAAGCACTGCCTTTCTAGCCCTGCCTCCAGTAGAGTCAAAACTCCTAAACTCTTTGGGGCTTTGTTTCAGTAACCAAGTCAATTGCTTTCTTTCTAACTTGCATCTGATTTTAACTTTGGGACAAGTTCATTCCTACCAGTTTATTTGTGCACCTCCCATGCTCTTGGCACTGGGATAAGAGTATCAAGGCTGCTGATGGAAGTTTCTTCCTTTTTCATGGTTGTCTTTCATTACAATTCTGCCGTTGCCTTTGCTTCAGTGTTTAATCACCTTCCTAGCAGTTTGCTTTTACAGACTTCCTCTCCTATCCTCTTTTCTAGCTTCTGGCTTTTTAATGACATGATTTATGCTTCCTCAAAGGGTGAATTCTGTGAATTATGGTTTCTTTTGCAGTTCCAGTGTGGTGAATTCAGCTTCTTCTGTGATTAACATGTCCCAGGAAAATACAAGGAAAGCACCTTTGTCTCCAGCCAAGGTAGACTGAGTCTGAACTGCAAAAATCTGATTTTGGGTGGGAATGTTATTTTTCTCATTTTTTTCAAGCGCTATGGAATAAAGAGGATTTTGTAGTACTTTTTTGCTACCAGATGCAGATAATTTTTACTATTAGTGTAAGAAGTCACACTTGTGGTGTATAAGGTTAATGAGTGCAATGTTCATAGTTGAAGACCCAGATTTCTTGCCCTAGGCTGTAAAATCTGAAGCTATTTGGTGCTGGTGATTTTAAGGATATGGAATGTGGCTCATTAGTTCTATCTCTGTCCTTTTTTTTTTTTTTCTTTTTTCTTTTTTTTTTTTTAAATTCAGAGCTTCCTGAATCTCTATTAGAGGTCTGCTAGTCTGAGGGCATTACCAATTTATACAACTGTAGACAGTAAATGTAGCTATTCAGTCTTATATTGCTAAAAATCTGTCATTGGCATTGACTAACCACAGAGCACGTCAGGGTAACCGAAGTCTCTTCCAAGTCATTTGGAAAAGTCAATCACAATTGTATCTCACACAGCTGCAATCTAGCCTAAAGAGCATCTGAAGTGGGAGAAAGAGCAGTGGTGGAAATCTGACCTGATTAAAGGCAAAGGTTTGCCCATGGCCGGGGCTTTGCTATATCCAAGGCCACATTCTCTCACCTATGGAATGTGGGGTTTTAGTTTGAATGCTTATTTTTTAATCTAGCTTTATAGGTCTCTGGCATTGAGTGTATCTTATGTAATTTTACTTATTTATTTTTAGTAAGGCATATATGTGGTATGATTGAAGCTATGGTGAATGGTTAAATTTCAAAAATTTATTACAATAAAAGACACATTTCCTATGATACTCCTCAAAATACTCCCTCCCCCTCTACTTCAAACAACCTATCCCATCTTTCTTGCCACTTTCTGAAGCAGTTTGGGAAGTTCTTTTTTGTAAATGTCTTTACTTGTGCCAGGCTGACTCAGTGACCTGAATCAATTCAAAATGTTTACCTTTCACAGCCATTTGACTTTGGGAAAGAGCCAGAAGTCACAAGGTGCCAGATCTGCCGAGTGAGGGGGATGAGGGCACACCGTAATGTTTTTATGAGCCTGTCTTTCCTTTGGATGGCACACAGCAGCCATATGCACCGTATTTTTTTTTATCACACCTCATAAAGACCTGAACGAGGACATCCTGAACTGTTTTAGAAAGAAGCAAGAACAATGGGATAAATTTGTATTTTGAGGGGAATTAATGTCATGGTGTCTATAACAATTTTTAAAATTTAAATATTTCTTGTATAATTTGATCACCCCTTGTACGGTAATTCTGTGCTTTTGAAATTAACCAAGTTTTTTCAAACATGCCAGATTATAAAATTGCGTAAAACTGTCATATCCTGGTGGTAATAAATTTGCTAACACTGAGTTGCTGTTATGACATTTAAACTAAGTCTAATAAACAATATCTTCTCCAGCAAAGGAAGAATCCATTTAATAGCTCCAAGCTTCCAGAAGATCACTTATCGCAACAAACCCAAAGTGGGCAATTACAAAATGGAAGCACTGGTTTACTTCAGATTTCAACACAGGGTAAATATTATTTTTATGAACTAGACATTTTTATTTTTATTATCTGTGGGCTAGAGAAAAATCCCAGAGACCCTTTACCATAAGTAACTTACCAAAGAAAATGGAAAGTTCTAATGGTTTTCTCATTTCGTGTATGCCTGTCGGTTTCTTCCTTGAGGGAGAAGAGGCAGAAATTTTAGTCACTGGCACTTGTGTGTGATTCTATCAGTAGACTGGGAAATTTTTTGACCAAAAATACTTAGTCTAATTTCACATAACAGAATTTTCTTACCAACAGGTTGCCTTGCCAGGTGGGTGACTCATGCCTATAATCCCAGCACGAGGGAGGTTGAGGCAGGAGGATTGCCATGACTGGCCAGCCTGGACTACATAAGTGAGTTCAAGGCCAGCTTCGAAAAAAAAAAAACAAAAAAACAAACAAAACCCAGGTTGCCTCAAGACAAAAAGGCCACTTGATAATGTTATGATCTTCTAATCTATAATTATCAGCTCAAAATTTTATTGTTCTTATATATCATTAAAAAAATACTAAAAAGTTCAGTCTCTTCTAAAGCAATTGTAAGAAGATTCCAACTGTATTAAAGATTATTCAATGGGCAAAAAAATTTAACGATTGATTAGTGGAACTAAGAGTTTCAAGTAGCTTGCCTTTTTTTTGGTGGTGGCACTCTGGATTACTTAGGGCTTTGTCACTAAACTGTACCCCTAGACCTTTCAAAAATTTTTAAATTTTATTTAAATAGGGTCTTGTTAGATTAGGTTGCCCAGGGTGGGCTCAGACTGAATCCTCCTGCCTCAGCTTCCCAGAGCACTGGGATTACAGGAATTCATCCTGGCCAACTAACCTGTTTGAAGTATTTTTCATTGGGCAAAAACTTTTTATATTGTTTATAAAATCCCACAAAGTATATAAAGCATGGTAATCTTAAATGTTCAGTACAATGAAATTCGTACATTGGTTTTTAATAGACTTTACTTTTTAAAGAGTTGGTTCACAACGTTATTGAGTAGAAGGTTTACATATCACCTATATATACCTTATTCCCACACATGCGTAGTCCCCTGTTGTTAACATCTCCCAGGTGTGTTTGTTATCACTGATTAACTACTCGGAGATGTCATTACCACCTGAAGCTGATAGCTTACATCAGGGATCACTCTTAGTATTATGTACTCTAGATTTAGACAAATGTGTAGTTACATGTGTCTGCCATTACAGCATCGTACACCATGATTTCATTGCCCTAAATAGATTCTGTGCTCCAATGATTGAATTTTCATAAGCTTTGGGGACATTAGGTGTGTACTTCCGCTACCTCTTCCACTGCCTTCAATATTTTAATACTTTTTTACTAAATATAGGCGAAGTTTATACATATTTTAAATTGTAGAGTGGCGTTCCATTTGATAGAGAACCTGATGTGTTTTAATTTTCAGGTGAATTGTCAGAGCCAAAAGAAAAGTCGTCTATCCAAGATACATCCAGCCAGAACTTAGAGAAATCAAAGCAGACTGTGCCAGCAGATCCTGCAACTGTGTCCCAAATCAAGGCTCCAATCCCCAAATCCAGAAAATTGATTTACAAATCCAACGATTTAAAGCGAGGTGATGAGCAGTCTTGTCTTAGACAAAGGACAGACTCCCTGGATGCAAGAGGGACTCCAAGAGGGATCCTCAAACGCAACTCCAGTTCCAGTAGCACGGACTCGGAAACTCTTCGTTTAAATCACAACTTTGAACCCAAAAGCAAAATCGTGTCACCTGGCATTACCATCCACGAGAGAATTTCTGAGAAGGAACATTCTTTAGAAGATGACCCTTCCCCAAACTCACTGGAGCCATTAAAGCATGTGAGATTCTCTGCAGTGAAGGGTGACCTTCCACAGAGGCCTGGGCTAATCTGTGGCCGGGAAGTGGGAGAATTTAGTGTCTTAGAACCTGACAGGTTGAAGAATGGAGCGGAAGATCCAGGGGACTTGGATGAGCCCAAGCCCTCCCAGTACAAAAAACCTCCGCCTTCTCATCAGTCAGCCTGCAGCCCCACTGCATCACAAAATGATACGTATCACCCAGTGACATCTGGTTCTCTTCCAAATGATGGGCTCCAGCCTTGTTCAGAAGTTCTAAATGCAGAACCACAGTCCCCTGAGAATTCACCCACCGTCAGTGAACACCAAGCTAAATCATCAAAGTTAACAAGGCTTGGGCCAGAGTTGTCCAAAAACCCTGCTGGTAAGAAAGTTGTCACTATCAGGTTATAAAAGCTGGCTCAGTGGGCTTGGAATGGCCAGGTCCCTCAGCCCTGCACAAGGTCAATTTTGCCTCATAAGCACTCTGTCTAGAATTTAGACAGACACCACTTGAAAACACATATACCTCTTGCTGGAGGCTTTTTTCATCCACCAATATTACTGAAACAACCAGTATAGCACAGTGTCCAGTCCATTATGTTTAACTGTAAAAAAATGTAACTATATCAGTTATTTAGATAAATGAGAATGTTTTGAGTTAAACCAAGGTGTGTTCTATAGGTGTGTAAAAAATGTAACCATATCAGTTGTGTAGACAAAAGAGAATGTTTTGAGTTAAACCAAGGTGTGTTAAACAAATGCTAGTACCTTCTCCCTGAGTAAATATGTCATTACTCACCTAATGTAAATTTGTTACCATTTTACCAAACTTTGGTTTCTCTTGTAATTGCAAGAAAGACTTCACTTTCTTAGCTTCAAAGGGTGAGAAACTGGACTTTGCATACTTAATATGAAGTATGCTCTAGACCTGCCCATGGTCTGGGGATGTTTGTTTTGTTCTTGACGCCAGAAATGCTGGTTAAGGACAGCCGAGGTGCTGCTTTTCCTGTGAGCAAGTCCTCCACTGGAGATCTCACTACTCTCCGTGGATGCTTCAAACTACCTCCTCATATCCATATGACTACTTTAAATCCTTAAGCTTTTAAAAAAGAGAAAGAATGGGAAAAATAATGTAGTGCATTCTCTCCCACCTTTGATAAATCTGCATCTAACTTTTTACAATCAGGAGCATTTATAATCATAACAATCAAGTTTCTACCTCAGTTGCCCAAAGAATGACATCTGCTCAGCTCTGTAATTTCATACATGTTTAGGCCAGTCTACTTCTTAAAGAAGAGTTCCTTTTTCTCCTTGGACATTTCAGATCATTTGAATGCAACAGAACTTTTTTAAAAAATTAAAAAATTAGCCAACACTTCTTTAAAAAAAAGTAAAAGAATTCTGCTGGGCATTTGTTCATACCTATCATCCCAGCTACTCAGGAGGCTTAGGCAGGAAGATCAAAAGTTTGAGGCCTGCTTGGTCAATTTAGCGAGACCATTTCAAAATAAAAATTGAAAAAGCCGGTGGGGCGGGGAACAGCTCAATAGGAAAGCACCCCTGGATTCTAGCCTAGTGTCATACGCACACAAAAGAGGCAACTCATTGTAAAGGAAATTACTAACATTTGACCAAACATTAGGAAGTACTTGTATGACAATTGCCTAAATATTCATTCAATAGATGAAAAAATTTCTATAGTAGTAATTCTGTGTTGGAATTGATTGAAAAGAATTGCACACTTTCCCCACTTTTAAAACTATACTTCCTCATAGACTATGATTTTGTATTTACTTATGCCTTCTAATTTTTACACTTGGTTTTAGCCAAAAGGCTGAGAAACGATGCCTTCTAATTTTTAAATCCAAACTGATCATTAAATCTGGGAACAAAACATCATCAGCTAAACTATTCTGATACTCTGATACCCGCTCTGACTGCAAGGATTGCTTACAAAGTTGGGCCCTGCTTTCTCCCTTTCAGTTCACTGCAGAGATAAATACAAGTAAGTGCTAGGACATGAGACAAAACTAGCATAAAATGTGGAGCTCTATGTCTCTGAATCATAAAGTTTGGCTTTAGTTCTGGACATCAGCACAGTCGATATCACACTGTTTTTCACACTGGAAAATAAAGAATTCCTCAGAGGAAACAAAACATTACTGCACACTGAATTTTTAAAATAACTGTTTCTATTTTTAAAGTAATAGCTTTTTACTGTAAAATATTTAAGAATGTGCACAGAATTTTTAAAAAGCTCATCTGTGATGTCATTGTCCAACATTATCTATTGCTAATATTTTAATGCAGATCCTACCAGAAGATTTTAGGCATGCCTATAATTTACAAATCATTACTATACTGCTAAGATTTTTTCACTAGAAATATATCATAGACATTTTAAAAAATCATCATTAAGTAGTCTGTAAACAGAATTGTTGAAGATTTCTAAGGGAATGTCACAACTATTGACATATATTTAATAATACAATGTATAGTTGAGGAAGGAAACCAATATCTACTCTTTGCCAATTATTGTATAAACTCTTAATAATTTATACATTTGGCTAGGGCTGATAGTTGAAATTAAAGATAGAATTTCAGGGGCGGGGGATTTTAGCTCAGTGGCACAGCACCTGCCTGGCAAGCGCAGGGTCGTGAATTCGATTCCCGGTACCAGGGGGGTAAAAAAAAAGGTAGAATTTTATTAACTAGTATGTCTTTCAGTACATTTGGAATGTGGCTGACGTCACAAAATTTAACTCGCATGGTTCTTTGTTTTGTTTTGTTTTCTTTGTTTTTTGAGACAGGGTCTGGCTATGTAGTTTAGGCTGGCCTGGAACTCACAGTGATCTTCCTGTCTCAGGTTCCCGAGTGTTGGGACTGCTGGTGTGCGCCACCATGCCTGGCCTCTCACAGTTCTTAAGGAACATTCCTGAACATACATTGCATTGCTTATCATTTTAAGGATGAAGAGAAATGAACTTTAACTAAATGCCTAATAAGACTTAGCAAAATGCCTGAGTTTGCTCATCAAAATGTGCTATGTGGCTTGTGATGAAGTCTTGGAACACTGTGTTTTCTTGATAGCTTAGAAACTATGTAAATATTCTTCTCTAGCCTCTTAGCCTTTAGTTAGCTGATGTCATGAGGAGATAGAGATCGTTCTTTGTCCCTCCTCATTTTGTTTGGCTCCTAGAAATAAATTCTGCCTTATAAATGATCAAAATGAAAAAGGGCATAATGGAGCAGCCTATGGAGTCAAGAGTCTTAAACCCAGTGTGCAGAACACTCACTAAACCAGCAACCCTAGGTTCAGAGATCCTGGTTCAGCATATCAGGACTAAAGCTCAGGAAGCAAATGTTCCCATTCAGATATTCTGGAGTGAGGTCCTTGTTCAGTCTTACTTGATAGCAGGTTTTCTAACTGCTGAAATCACTTAAATCTGTGCTCCTCAAATTTGGCTATAAACCCCTTCTCAGGTTATGACAGTGTGCCGGAGGGTTACTGAAGTCATCAAATCAGCATGGGGTACCTTCCCACGGTGTCAGTTCGATACAAAGATTTGAGAGTAAGAGAAAATTAATATTTAAAGTGTAACATGGACCAAAATATAAAATTCACATGAATTTTAAAATAAACCAAGGACTCCAAAGAAATTTTCCAGGTAGGCCTACATGCTGTAGTTTCAGGAGTCTACATTTGCCTCCCCTTACTATCATAGGGTGGCATTGGTAGAACACTTTAATTAGAATGACCAACCCCTTAGAGGTGTAGAAAGTGCAAATAAGAAACACCTTTTTCAAAAGGTAATGTGAGCGATTGCATAATAATCTTCAAGCATTTTCTCTTCTTATTTAAAAGAGCATCTCTGTGTTGCAGATGAACTGTCTGCCTGTGTTGAGCCTGAGCCATCTCAGGTGCCAGACTGCAGTTCTAGAAACCATCAGCAAGGTAAGCCCCCTCTTCTCATGACTCTAAAAGCTGAGACATCCTCGTTCTCTGGTCCACATGCCACTGAGATAAAGAAGACAACTGATGATTCCATATCTAAAGTCCTAGACTGGTTTAACCGAAGTTCTTATTCAGATGACAGTAGGTCATCCCTCCAACATCCCCAAGGCATAGGACCCAAAGAAAAAATAGACTCAAAATCACAAGCTCCTACTGCCTTTGTGACAGATGGCACAAATTTAAAAGAAAATGACTCAAAAGCCCTGTCACCTACCAAAGTTGAATTAAAGCCTTTAAGATCTGATTCAACATTTCAAGTAGAAAGTGATAAACTGCTTTCTGAAGAGTGCCAAGATAATGATGCAAATATCAAATCCAAAGTTATGAATTTGTCCCAAGAAGACACCTCAAAAGAAGGTCTGGATATACCGCAAACACTAGAAAGTTATGCTTTAAGTCAAGGGAATAAAAATATGGACTATAGCCAAAGCTCAAAAAGCATAGGAAAAGGAGATGAGGTACCTCCCTCAACCAGTAACTATTCCTGCAATGTTCCTAAAGGATCTGATGCAGAAATACAAGTTCCATACAATACTAACAGTATTGGCAACTTCGATAAAGAAGAACTCAAGCTTCATGATCATGAAAAACATAAAGGAAACTCAAAAGTCAATTTTGGCACTTCAACAATTGTTCAAGAGTCCAATCTGAAAGACAACATGAAAGCAGAGAGAAAGAGCAAAGAGGGAAACGCTTCCATCCTGGAAGCTTCCTTAGAGACAGAGAATGGTGAGTTGCCACCTGGGGCTGCCAACGAAGGATCTGCTTGGAAGAAGCCTGAAGTCCAGCCACAGCAAGAAGCTGGTAAGGTTCCCAAGAACCAAGTGCAAAGAGAAAAATACAAAAGAGTAAGGGAAAGAATATCCTTTTGGGAAGGAGAAAGAGCAGCTGCTGCTAAGTTAGCTCATAAAGAACCCACATCTTCATGTAGCCAGGAACAACCTTCTGCTAAAGCATTGCAGCCTGTGAAGTCACAGGGTGTACCCAGGGACAGTTTATCTACAGACCAGAGTGAATACACTCAAGTCACTGCCAAGCTAGTAGTCCTTGATGAAGATGATCAAGCATTCCCTCTCTCTAGCTGTTACTCCTCAAATAAACCTAAACAGACCAGGCCCCAAATATCAGGTCTATCTAAAAACCATCCTTCAGCTGGCCAATCAGATAAAGAATCTCTGTTTCATAATGAGAGAAATGAACATATAAAAAGATTGCCAGTGGAAGACAGTTTGCAGTCCAGGAAAGACATTACTTTGCAAGTACTGCAACATTCATCAAATATTGAGGATGGAATATGTACTTCTCTGGAGAAAGACAGATTTCTAAGGGGTGAATCAAGCGCCAACTTTAAAGTTATGGCCCTAAAAGAGAGAGTGGATGGACCCACTACAGAACAGGTCTATAATCACTCTCAGTTTGAGAATTTGAAAAAGTTTTGGGACTTAGGAACTAATTCAAACAATAAGGATAATTATGAGATGGATACTACCACAAGCCAAAAACATTCTGTGGCTTTTAAAAGCCAGAAACACCAGAAATTAAGTGACAATAAATCATCAGGCAAAAATACCCATGAAATAGAGCCACTTTTAAGCCAAAGAAACGTTATGGCAGGAGAAGAAATGGAGAAATTCAACTCCAAGAGTGTATTACAGGTGCTACCTGGTGAAACTACATTTCCTTTAAAATCACCCAGGAAGTCCACTCATCCACTGGCAGGAAATGACTCATCAAAGGAAAAGGGGGAAAAGAATCTGGAATGGGTGGTTACTCCAGTGCTTACGGAAGAAAAATATTGCTCTGATCAAGAGATTCAAGAATCTGTAGTGAAAACAATTGTCGTGTCTGAAGACTACAAAGCTACTTTTAGTGACAGCTTACAGAAGCTGCTTTCAGAAGCTTCGTCACCAGTAAATCAACCTTCCAGTGGAAAAGTTTGTGGAAAGCAACTACTTGAACCAGCTATTTCTGAAGATAGGAAATGGTTTCAAAAGACAGAGTTGGCTGATAATAAACAAGAAGCCAAAGGATCTACAGAGATCCCTGATGAGGATGTAGACAAAAGGATAGTACCAAGCCCAGGCAGGCTCTTTAAAGAAGCAACCGGAACCTCACCCTCTCCCTTGCAAACCAAGATTAAACCTGTTACCACCAGAACCAACTCCAAACCTAAAGAGCGTAGATTTTTTGAAAAAGAGATAGAAGAAAATCACAACACTTCATTTTATCAGACAGAAATGACACCTCCATTTCCAGAGTGGTGTGACACTTCAGGAAATGTAGCTCTCACCCAGAAAGCTGGAAGTGATGAGTGCCAGCTCAACAAAGAGAACTTGTTTCAGATGACTGCAGAGGGTTCTCCTGCACTGGCCCAGCCTTCACATCTTTACAGAAAAGGCTCTTTTGAGGATGTGACTAACTATCCACAAGATATGTCTCTTTCCGGAGAAGCGCACCAAGATAAGGCATTATCTTCTCAAAGGGAAATTTCAGAGACCATAGAGAGAGTCATTCTTCCACCCAAACCTGCACTGAGTGATGTAAATGATGCATTACAGAGGCTATGTAGAGAAGTTTCCTTGAGTTATCCATCTGGGAGGGAAGTAGCTCCTGGAGAAATAAAAGCAGATTTTTCTGAAGAGGTTCAAACAGCAAGTCACCCCCCAAATCCTCTGGAAGTGACTCCCCCAGGGACTACAGTGGACACTCTTGTTCCAGACAGGAAGGATTTTTATACCTTCACTGTATTTCCTGATAAAGCTCATGGAGCCGGGTCATATTTAGCTCCCCAAATGTCTCCTTCAGAACAGCTCACTAACTCATCTGTTTCTACCATGGCTCAGTGTGGCAAAGAGCGACCTCAGGAAGTAGCAGAAACTGTGATGGAAACAATTACTCCGCCCAAATCAGAGTTCCTTGAATTCAGTACTCACTTAGAAAAACTACTCAAGGAAACACTACAAACCTCCTCATCAAAATATGAAAAGGATACAGGAACCCTTTCTCCATCAGAGTTTATAGGGAGTACGGAGGCACCCAGGCAAGGTGCTTCTGAGTTCCACCCTCCGGAAGTGCAAGAAACAGTAGAAAAGGCTGAGGCTCTGTCAATAACTGAGAGTGCTTTTGATTCTGGGTTTGAGAAACTTCTTAAAGAAATATCTGAGTTTCCTCTTTACCAGTCCCAGGTGTCAGTGAAGGAGGAAACTCCTGAGAAGGAGCCCTCAGAGTCAGAGCAGGCCAGGTTCTTGGACACAGTGCCCCATTTTTACTGGGCAAGTGCAGGGACCTTGGAAATGAAGGGTGAAAGTGGTTTGAAATCTCAGGTCAACCAGTGTGATAAAGTGCTGGGAGGAGACGAAGCTGTGACTGATTTGTTGGTAAATCTTTGTTGTTCTGCAAGTAGTAGGACTGAGATCTCTGGAACCCCACAACTTTATGTGGACCATGAAATAGAGACCACTCCATCTATACAACCTCCAGAGTACAGGAACGGTGAAAGAGGCATCAGAGAGGGACAGGCGGGTTTTCAGGAACCTGGCTTGGAAGAGGCCCCTAAAGCAATTAATGTGTCCAAAAATAAGCAGCCCATTCCTCTCCTGACAAACACAAAAGACCCTACAAAAATAAGTAAAGCTGAATTGATGCTAGCATCATCATACAAGAGACAAGACAAAGAAGAAGAAAAAGAAGCTTTCTCTGATTCTGATTTTTCAGATGGAAAGACTGGTTCTAGTGCAGAAAGTTCGAGAAATACCTCCAGTGAGTGTTCTGGAATTTTTAACCCATAATGAGTCTGCTTTATGGAATGCTGATGCAAAGAATGATTTTTCTTTTTCTAATTGAGATTAATACTCCCAAATGGTGCTAAATTCTTCTTGTTGCTCCAGTTCTCCTGAACTTTTCATAATAAAAAAATTCACTTATGTTCTGTATTCAAATGAGTCACACAGAAACAGCTTTCTTAAAGGCTGTGTTCTAGTTAACCTTGTTTCTCATTTATCGATAGAACTTTTACATAAACAATTTTTTAAAATAAACTTTGAGGTTTACAAAGCACCTTTGAAAAATTTACATCAGTTTACCTCCTGAAAATACAGAGTCAGCAATTTCTTTTTTTTTTTTTTTTTTTTTTTTTCCCCGGTGGTATCGGAACCGAACTCATGACTTTGAGCTTGCTGGGCAGGCGCTGTGCTGCTGAGCTAAATCCCCAGCCTTCCTCCTGAAAATAATTAGAATTTCTTAATTGGCAATCCATTTAGAAGTCTCTAGTAAGAGTGTGCCAAGAAAGTGCCACAAATGGGCAAAGATTTCCCATTTAAGAGCAGCATTTTACTACAGCTGTGGCTAAATATCAGGGGCGAAATATAGGGGTAGAACTTCCCTTCCTTCAGATACTTTGTGCTGTGGTATCTGTGTTGCCACTCTCCCTTCATTTTTAGTTATCTGCAGAATCTCCCCTTCTAGATTCTGACTTTGATCAGATGACTTCATGTGGTTCCACCTAAATGCATTGCCTGGCTGTTGTATTTTTTTGGCTTTAGCCTTGGCTAAATTGTATAAAGACTCTGTTCAATTGCCACATTCATCTAAGTGGGCATGGGGGGACTGGTTTCAGCCAAGCCATAAGGCTTATCTCAGTTTGCTGTTCTGGTCAGCTCTTGGTATTTTAACAGAGTACATTGGCATGAGAGGTTGCCTGATTCAAGTGATGAAATAATAGAAGATACTCTCTGGCTGGAACTTTTTAACCAAAGTTGGACAACCAAAGTTGCACAACTAATAGACTACAATCTCTATGAAACTAGATAAGTTTTTCTGGGTGGCTGACTTATGAGACTTGAGTTCCTTTACAAGTAGCTTCAGCACTGACCAAGGAATCTATTTTAATCCTAATTAGCCGAGTTGAAGTTAAAGAAATACATGTCTGAAACTGAACATATACAAGAATAAAGCTAGCACGTTAACCTGGTTGAGGTATTTCCTTACTAAATTGCCCTGTGCATTGCTACCATAAACTGACCCATAGGAGACTTGCAAATTTGTGTTTTCTTTAAACAATGTCACCTAATTCATATAGGCATGCATATAGTGTCCTAGCATCACTGATTGAGCAACAAAAGCTTATCTTTAAAATATAGTATTAAATGATCACCTAGACAGTGCTGAGAGAAGATATGTTAAAATTATAGGTCAAATAAGATATATAAAATGCTGCGGTCATGGTTTTATACCCCCATCCTCAAATATTATTTTTTTTAAAACTGGCAAAGTTAGTGTGAGAATAAAGTTCACCTCTTAAATTTGAACAAAAAAACACCCCAAATCTAATTTATCTTAGAATCAATTTTCTGTGAAATGTACATTAATGTTAAGCAAAACTAAAATACATTTCAGGAAATTATTGTTGAGATAAGGGGTTCTGAAATTCATTTATTCATTCATTGAATCATTCACTGATTCTGCAAAGGTTTTAAAATGTCTATGGTCAATCACTGTCGAGGCACCAGGAACAAACAATGATAAATGTCAATATTTAGAATAGGGCCTATGCATGATGAAGTTTTCACTGTCAAAATGAAAATTTTAAGGACAGTTTATAGAATTTTTCTATAAAGTTTAAGGATTGTTCTTATTCAGAGATTACCCCTTGTTATTTCTCTTGGTTCTAGAATTTCTTTTTCTTTTATAAAATAAAAGTATTAGTAAATGATAAGTTCTCCCTGTCACCTTTTAAATGCCTTCATTAAATAAAATTTTATTATCCATTTATTTACCAAAATTTTTTTGCAAATTTTACTAAATCCCCAAATCAAGAAAGATTATATCTATTATCTGGAGAAGCCCGCATCTGTGATCCATTTGTACACAGATGTTAAACATCTGAATCCTTCCCTCCATAGTCTTCAACTAATTTTTCAAATGTTTTTAAAATCACTTAGTGGCTGCTTCAAAAGATAGAATGTTAAGGGGGAACATTCAAAGTCTGGCACAAAATAAATCATGATCCTAAAATAGAGGTGTAAACCCCTAGAAGACGATGTTTTTATTAATGTGATAATCTTGTTTCTATAATAGTTTATGTTTGCATCTATTTCTTGACCAGGTAAATTATTTTTTTCAAGGGTATATTAAAGGTCTGGTGGTGTAGCTCCGTAGTAGAACATTCACCTAGCATATACAAGGCTCTGGGCTTGATCACAAGCATCAAAAAAAACAAGCAACAACCAAAAAATTGAAAGGAAATGTTAACAGTGGAGAAATTTTACTTTCTTTTGTGAAGTACTTAGAGCAAATAAAAGTAGGGAGGCTGCTGCATAATTTCTCTTTTCAACCTACCACTTCAGGGTTCAATAGTTATTAAAAGATTGTGTTTTTCTTTTGTATTGTGCAGCGTTCATCGGTTTTGTCTTGTAACAGGTTCAGAAGAAGAACCCCATCCCGTTTTGAAACCTTTGGAAAGGAGTGCTGCTAGAAAAATGCCTTCCAAAAGTCTAGAAGACATTTCATCAGATTCATCAAGTGAGAATAAAGTTCGCCCCACTGTCCATGCCTCACCTAAGCTTAGAAATGCTTGTGTGCTCTTCTCTGGCCTCACTGCATGTGCGCATGCACCGAGACCCCTAACACAAGGGTTCACAGGTGGCGATAACCTTCCCAGGTGTGCTGGAGAGGCTCACCCTCAAGCACTGTGGAATTTTGCTTTTAAATTAATGCATGAGGTTTGCTTACTAAAATACTAGTTTTCCCTAAAATAAAAGCATTGACGTTTGAGTGTTTACTCAAGTACAGTGAGTTATAAAGGACTATGGTAGCTAATAGTACTAGTAGAACTAATAGTAATAGGTGACACTTACTGAATACTCTGTGCCAAAAATTGTCTAAGAGTTTTACATGTTTTGTCTCATTTAACTACCACAGCAAAACCCTGTGAGAGAATTGTTATCCTTATTTTATAAAAAGAAAATGAAGCTCAGAGAAGTAAAGTAGCTTACTTATATCACAGAGCAGACCTGAGACTCAAGTTGACAGACAACTGTCAGCAGCATTTATGAATTTACCACATTATAATATAACAGTGTTTGGTGTCCAGTGAATTTTTATGATAGGGAGTGAGTTAGTATCTGGCTTCAGGGACTTTTGCTTTCTTTTATTCCTTCTTTTCTATTCACACATTTCTTTTGGATATTAGGACTATAAGCCCAAAGATTATCTAACATACCGAGCATGGTGGCACAAGCCTGTAATCCCAGCACAAAGGAGGCTGAGGCAGGAGAACTGCCAAAAGTTCATTGCCAGCCTGAGCTACATAGTGAGTTCAGGGGCAGCCTGAACTATACAGTAAGATCCTATCTTAGAAAACCAAAGGGGGAAACAAAAAGATTTCCTAAGACACAATCCTTTAGGTACCTTGTTCCGCACTGGGTGCTGCTTTAATTAGTGAAGGATTTCTTAAGTACTAACAGAATGTATATAGGGAATTTTGTGCCAGTCAAATGGATTTAGAAACAGCGTCTAGGGATTTTGTTCTTACTATTTTGAAGCTGAAATATATCTCTGGGATTTTGGTGTCATGAGAAAAACCAAGTAAACACTAATCAGTGTGCCAGTCTCATGATTGATAATTGACTATTTTCAGATTTAAAATAGTTTTTAGGCACCTGCAATTGAGACTGAAAAGTTAGAGTTTAAAAAGGAAAAGTAAAAGCCACTTCACCTAACAATTCCTGAAATTTACAGGTTTCCAGGGTTCTAAAGACAATATTCCCAATTTTGAATACAGTCCTAACCCTCCCAGGGAGCTTCAAATCTTAGAGGTAGTAGGACCTTGAAGATCACCCATTTCAACCTTTCCCTAATGCAAGAATTCCCTCTAATGCCTCCTCAACAGGTGGCTTGCCCCCACATCTGCCTGAATGCTTCCCAGAGAAGGCAGGTCTAGTTCTTTGTTGCACAGCCCTGATTGTTCTTCCTTATGTTGGTGATGAGCCCTAGGGGGAAAAAAAACCCTCAGCAACAATTGTTCAGTTTAGCAAACCCCTTTGCCTGTAAAGCACAGAGCTATTTCCATGGTGCAGCTTTAAAGTATTCAGGAATGAGTAGGGTTAAAAAAAAATCACTATCAGCTGACGGGTATTCCTGCACGCTGCCTTCCAAATACCAATACCACTCTCACACTAGCCTGCCAAAATTCCACTTAGCAGCTGGTCCCCAGTTCCATCTCTTCAGTTGACTTCCCAAGCAAGCCTCCCAGAGGCATACGCAATTGATGATGCACTCACACAAATATCTGTTAATGACCATAGGTTTGGGAAGGTGTTAGTCATGCCTAACATCGTACCCTCTCCAGAAGAATAGAGAGGCTGTTTGCAGCCCTGTGCTTCCTCCTGTTGCCAGCAGATTGCTTGCTCTGAGCTAACCATCTAACCCTTGGGAGTCTGTGTGCAGCAGTGTGCTGATGTGAGCTGCATCAGGGCTGAAATGGGAGCTCCTGCTATGGCACTCGCTCAAGTAGCTAATCTAAAGAGAAAGTATTTGGGGGAAGACATCTTGGTCGCACCCCTCACTGCATCTTGACTAATTGCTTCCAACTCCGGGAGCTTCCAGAGACAACCTCATTGTTCTTTTCTCTCCATGGGTCAGCCGTGTTAACCATTTGTTAATTTCTCCCGAACAGATCAAGCAAAAGTAGATAATCTGCCAGAAGAATTAGTACGTAGTGCTCAAGATGGTAAATATCTTTATGTATTTGCATGTCTGTGTGTGTATTAAGTTCTGGCCGGGGTGATTGGAGCAGTTACTGGGATGCAGCTGTTGGATAAATAGAAGAACATCATTTGCTACTATGTGGCCGATAGTGCCTAAGTTATTATGAAAACTGCTCTGACTTGATGCATTAAATAGTGTGTATGTTTTTAAGGCTTCTGGTGATACCATTGTGAGAATCTCATTAGAGACCCTGGGGAAGCAAGAATTTCTATAAATAGAAAATTGTATTTCTATGGGTTATGAGCTGATTTTTACTACTCTGACTTGCAGAACTCCTTCTGAAGGAAGGAAGACCTGTGGGGGCTCCTGGGCTGAGTTATTTCTGTGTTTGAGTCTCAAGTCTCAGCATTTAGATCATTGGGCATAACCGGCAAAGCCTTCAAAAGAGAAAAGTCCTAGGAGTAGGGGATTCCAGTCTCTGCTTATACAAATAACTTAAGACAGAGTGAAATTAATTGATTCTGAATATAAGGAGCCGAAAGATCTTTAAGGCTGTCCATGATCGTGTACCACTGGGTTCAGTTTTTAAAGGGATAGGGTGATAGTGTGTTGGAGGGGCGAGGGGTGGAAGAATATCCAATTGTTGTAGTTCAGGATTTATGCAAATAAATAACTTATATTTATACCCTGCTTTTTATTTTTCTAAATTGCTTTCACTATAATCATAAACATGTTATTCACTTAGTTTTCCTATACAAAATGTAATGACAGAACCCTCTAAAAGTCTTTACTTTTATAGAAAAGAATCTCAGCTTCATGTCCAATTTCAGTGCTATGGCTTAGTACATGAAAGGACAGAGGTTGCACATCTCCTGTGATCTTAGTTTTCAGTTGAACAGGAGACCTTAAAAAGGCTGATGAAGAGTCACACTTGGATACGGATGAAAGCAAGCTGAAAATCTGTCAGATATATTCTGCAGCTTCAGTTGTGAAACTGACATTTGAGTTTACTTTCATGTCTGTTTAATCCTTCTGTTAAAATGATATTTATTCTCAATGCTACTCTTCTTAGTAGATCAAAAGGCAGATCAGGAACCAGATACAAATGAATGCATACCAGGAAGTGAGTAGCAGGATTTTTCTCAAAATGACTAAATGTTCTATTTGCATAGTGTTAAATATATTGCAAGAACTAACCCATTAATAATGCAGCATTTATTATTGTTAAATTTCTGCAATATTCGGCAAATTGCAATTTCTGCAGCTTGCAAAACTATTTCATTCTGATTAGGATTTATTAAAAAAAAATAAGGGCTGGGGATTTAGCTCAGTGGCACAGCACCTGCCTGGCAAGCGCGAGGTCGTGAGTTTGATTCCCAGTACCAGAAAAAAAAAAAAAA